ATATTGGATTGTTCTTTCTAAGTAAGATCCCATTTTCATTACAGTTGTGGTCTTACCTTGACTTGAAGATGAATATAAGTCCATGCTATCCTTCTGGACAACAATCTCTATTACTGTTTTGTAAAAGTCCTCCTTATCTTCCTGTAGTTTCAAAAGTCTAGTTTGTTGTTTGCGGTAGAATAACAGTAGCAACAAGAACCTGTGGGCTCACGTGCGCCCCCTTCAGTGCGGCAGAGGTTATGGCTGCCTGTCTTGGTGCTTTTTTCATTGCCGTTGTACGATGAGACCAGCGAGCCTAAATATCATATATACGTGAAATAAGTTATTTAGAGACTATGGATGGCGAGGATAAATGTAATAAAGGGATCTACAAACATTACATTGGTGACCTACAGTGAGATGGTAACAGGCATGCGTTTAGGGCCCGCTTTCCAGCCAGTTTCTGTGGGGTGACGCATTCTGAATTGAGGCAGAGCTCATCTGTGCCTCACCTCACCCCACAGTAAATGGCTTGAGCGCGCTCACAAAATAAGTGGCCGCGCTAAATTAGTGCCCGCGCTCCAGCAAGTTACTGTGGGCTTACGTGAGGCAGTGCTCATGCCTGCCTCACTTCTCATCGCTCCCGTAGCGGAGCTCGGCAAATTTGCTGATTTTTACTATTAAATGCGATTGGAATCATACAGAAATCACATTTACACAAGATCAGTGGAGACATTTTATTATTATTATTATTGAGTTTTTCTTTAATTGTTTTTCCGTTACATTGGAGTATGACAGGTGAGGCTCTGCCTCCCTTGCCTCCACTGACTGCACATCGCTGGATTATAATATTGATATATGCTGTCTCACTGAAACTTGGTTGAGACATGAAGAATATGTCAGCATAAATGAGGCCACTCCACCCAGCCATATCAATACTCATATTCCTCGAGGCACAGGCCGAGGAGGTGGAGTTGCAGCCATCTTTGACTCAAATGTACTTAACAATACTAAACCAAAATTAAATGATACCTCCTTTGAAAGCCTTGTTTTTGGTCTTACGGAAAACTTTGCAGCCAATCTTATTTGTTACAGTGTACCGTGCACCAGGTCCTTATTCAGAATTCTTATCAGAATTCTCTGAGTTTTTATGAACTTTGGTACTTAAAACAGTTAAAGTAATTATCGTAGGTGACTTTAATATTCATGTTGACGATGATAAAAATAGCCTTACTGTTGCATTTCACTCTATATTAGATTCTATTGGTTTCTATTGGTCAGAGTGTAAATAAATCAACCCACTGCTATAATCACACTCTCGACCTTGTTCTGACTTGTGGTATTGCAATTGAGCAACTATTAGTCGAACCGCATAATCCTGCTTTAACCGACCATTTTTTGGTAACTTTTGAAGTACTCTTACTAGACTACAAACCATTAGTTAAAAGTTCCTGCAGCAGAAATCTATCTGTTAGCGCTATAGCCAAATTTAAGGAAGAGATTCCACCAATACTTAACTTGATAGCATGTCTGTATGTAAGGGAGGAAACGTATACAAAATGTACACCACCCCAAATTGATCATGTTGTTGATAGTGCTATAGATGCGCAGCGAATAAAATTAGACTCTGTTGCTCCTTTGAAAAAGAAGAAAATAAAACAACATAGACTAGCTCCATGGCATAATGCCGAAATCCGGAAAATAATGCAAAAGTCGAGACGACTTGAAAGGATATGGCGTTCCACTAAACTTGAAGAATCTCGTTTAATTTGGCATATTACTCTCAATGAATATAAGAAAGCACTGCGTAAAGCGAGAGCAGCTTACTACTCTTCATTAATAGATGAGAATAAGAATAATGCAAGATTTCTTTTCAGCATTGTAGCCAGGCTGACCGAGAGCCACAGCTCTATTGAGCCTTGTATTCCCATAGCACTCAGTAGTAATGATTGTATGTGCTTTTTTTAATGATAAAATTGTTACTCTTAGAAACAAAATGAATGACCTCTTGCCTTTGACCAGTATAGTGTTATCAACAGCTCCCGGAAACGTAAGTTCTAATATTACACTAGATAGTAAACTAGAATGCTTTTCAGCCATAAACCTTGAACAATTAAATTCAATGATTCTCTCTTCTAAACTATCAACGTGTATCTTAGACCCGATTCCAACTAAGCTGTTAAAGGACGTTTTTCCATTAGTTAGCACTTCTTTATTAAATATTATGAATATGTCTTTATTATCAGGCTATGTTCCACAATCATTCAAAGTAGCAGTGATAAAACCTCTTCTTAAAAAGCACAACCTCGATCCAGAGGTTTTAGCCAACTATAGACCTATTTCTAATCTTCCGTTCCTCTCAAAAATTCTTGAGAAAGCAGTCGCAAAACAGTTGTGTGATTACTTAAAAAAGAATGATTTATTTGAAGATTTTCAGTCTGGCTTTAGAACACATCATAGCACAGAGACAGCTCTGGTTAAAGTCACAAATGACCTTCTAATAGCCTCAGACAAAGGACTTGTCTCTATTCTTGTTTTGCTCGATCTCAGTGCTGCATTTGATACTATCAACCATGACATCTTATTGCAAAGACTAGAGCACTTAGTTGGCATACAGGGAACTGCTTTAGGCTGGTTTAGGTCCTATCTATCTGAACGTTCTCAGTTTGTGTGTGTCAACGATGAATCTTCCATGCAAACCAAAGTGAGCCATGGAGTGCCACAGGGCTCAGTGCTTGGGCCTATTTTGTTCACATTATATATGCTTCCCTTAGGCAATATTATAAGGAATCATTCTGTACATTTTCATTGTTATGCGGATGATACTCAACTATATTTATCAATCAAGCCTGATGAAACCAATCATCTAAATAAAATTCAAGACTGCCTCAAGGACTTAAAAACGTGGATAACTTTAAACTTTTTGATGTTAAACACGGCCAAAACTAAAGTTATTGTACTCGGCCCAAAGAATCTACGAAACAAATTATCTAAAGATATACTAACTATGGATGGTATTAATTTGGCCTCCAGTGAGCCTGTAAGGAATCTTGGTGTTATATTTGATCAGGATTTATCTTTTAACGCCCACATAAAATCAATTTCAAGGACCGCCTACTTCCATCTACGTAACATAGCAAAAATCAGGCATATCTTGCCTCAAAACGATGCAGAGAAACTAGTCCATGCATTTGTTACTTCAAGGCTGGATTATTGTAACTCTTTATTATCAGGGTGTACCAAGAAGTCAGTTAAGTTGCTTCAGCTGATTCAAAATGCTGCAGCACGTGTACTAACCAGAGTTAGGAAAAGGGACCACATTACTCCTGTTCTGGCTGCCTTACACTGGCTCCCTATAGAACACAGGATAGAATTTAAAATTCTTCTTCTCGCCTACAAAGCCCTTAATGGGCAGGCGCCATCTTACCTTAAAGAACTCATTACACCCTACTGTCCTACTAGGGCACTGCGTTCCAAGGATGCAGGGTTGTTGGTTGTTCCTAGAGTCTCTAAAACTACAATGGGAGCCAGAGCCTTTTCTTATCAAGCTCCACATTTGTGGAACCAGCTTCCAGTTTGCGTTCGGGCGGCAGACACCCTATCCGTTTTTAAGAGTGCGCTTAAGACCTTCCTTTTTGATAAAGCTTATAGTTAGGGCTGATTAGATGCAGCCCCTAGTTTAGCTGCTATAGGCTTAGTTTGTCGGGGGACACCTTACTTCTTCCTTCTCTCTGTCTGTACCTGTGGACTCTCATGTTCCGAATAACCCAGCTTCCCCAAATTTTCTTTTTGGTGTCTATCTACGCGGCTGATCCTGTTGCTGTGGTCCTGAGTCCTGGATCGCAAGCCCTGGATCTTGAGTCGTGGCTGTGCCTGTTGCTGTGGTCCTGGATCATAAGTCCTGGATGGATATCCTCGTGGATTCATCTTATTAAAGACACATGCATTTCCAAACATTCGGTCTACCTATGTTGTAAATGTATTATCTCTTCGATTTACACACGGCATCTATTGCACGTCTGTCCGTCCTGGGAGAGGGATCCCTCCTCTGTTGCTCTCCCTGAGGTTTCTCCCATTTTTCCCTTTAAACTGTGGGTTTTCTACGGAGGTTTTTCCTTGTACGATGTGAGGGTCTAAGGACAGAGGGTGTCGTATTGTCATACTGATATTCTGTACAAACTGTGAAGTCCACTGAGACAAATTTAACATTTGTGATATTGGGCTATATAAATAAACATTGATTGATTGATTGAAATAGATGTTAGTTGTGAGGTCATCTGAAGTCATATAAGTTTTACATAATAAACTTTACTTTCTGAAGTAGACAGATTTTTCTGTTCAGATTCATTTAAATGTTGAGTAACATCTGATTGGAATATAAACAGATTTGTATCCTCATCATGTTTTCTTTATTCAGTCTGTGGGCCTGCATGTTGCCAGAGATCAGCTGTTCTGCTCTGGCCTCAGCTCTGAAGTCCAACATCCATCTGAGAGAGCTGGACCTGAGTCAGAACCCTCTGCAGGATTCAGAGGAGCTGCTGAGAGATCTTCTGGAGAGTCCAGACTGCAGACTGGAGACCCTCAGGTCAGTAAGGGGTCTCTGCTGGTTCAGCAGTATTGTATGAAACACAGGGAGGTGTTTCTCTCACTGGGGAATCACAACAGATCAGTGATGTTACCCACTGACTGCAGGCTCTTTCATTCTTCCATCAACTATAGAAGGCCAGCTGAAAATGCAAAGCCACATTTAGTAAGTAATCAACTTTCCACCAGACATATGGGATTTGACAGAAGAGTGGAAAAGGTAGTCTGTTTTTGATGGGATGTTTGTAGCTCCTTGACTAATGACTGTTACTTCCTGTAATGCAGCTGAGAGCTGTGGCAGTCAGTCGTAGTGTTTGCAGAGAAGATATGATGGGATGTAAAGCATGAGATCAGTCAGGACTCTGAAGCTGACTCAAAGAACAAACACTTATTTTAAACTGGATCCATAACTGTTGGATTGTGTTCATCCCTACAGGATCAGATATGAGACGATCAGAGCCGAGATCCAGAAGAACTGTGAGTACTGAATATCCTCCATTCATCCAGATATGAAACTCTTTCATGGAGCATGTCCTCAGAGGAAAACAACACTCTTGTTTTTCTCTCTTCATCATTTTGGCTGTTTCTCTTCACAACAACTGTCTATCAAAACAGTGACGCGTTCACTGACACTCTGTAAAATGTAAATAAACTGAAGAATAAAACACATGAAAACATCAACATTATAACCAGTCTGTTACAGTATTACCATCAAAATATACGTCAGTCAAAGTAGAAGTACTCAGATCTTGTACTTGAGTAAAAGTAGAAGTACTCAGATCTTGTACTTGAGTAAAAGTAGAAGTACTCAGATCTTGTACTTGAGTAAAAGTAGAAGTACTCAGATCTTGTACTTGAGTAAAAGTACTCAGATCTTGTACTTGAGTAAAAGTACTCGGATCTTGTACTTGAGTAAAACTCAGATCTTGTACTTGAGTAAAAGTACAAGTACTCAGATCTTGTACTTGAGTAAAAGTACAAGTACTCAGATCTTGTACTTGAGTAAAAGTACAAGTACTCAGATCTTGTACTCTAGTAAAAGTAGAAGTATCCAGATCTTGTACTTGAGTAAAAGTAGAAGTACTCAGATCTTGTACTTGAGTAAAAGTAGAAGTACCAGAGTGTAGGAATACTCTGTTACAGTAAAAGTCCTGCATTCAAAATGTTCCTCAAGTAAAAGTAGAAAAGTATTAGCATCAAAATATAGTGAAAGTAGCGACAGTAAAAGTAGTCATTGTGCAGATTGGTCCATTTCAGAATAATATATATGATATGTTTTATAATGATTGATCATGAAAGTGTTCTCAAAGCTGGTAAAGGTGCAGCTAGTTTGAATGACTTTGTATACGGCAGGGTAGCTTGTGGATTTACTCCAGGTGGAACTAAAGTCTGATGTAACACTTGATTATATTTCACATCATTCATCCACATCTGTGAAGTAACTAAAGGTATTAAATACATGTAGTGGAGTAAAAGTACACCATGTACCTCTGAACTGTAGAGGAGTAGAAGTACAAAGTAGCATAAAAGGGAAATACTCAGGTAAAGTACAAGTACCTCAACATTGTACTCAGTGGCGTTTTTATATGTACAAAAGTGGTGGGGCACAAAAAACTTAGATGTCTATATATAAGCTTCTGCAGTGACGTGCAGTGAGGTTCATGGCTGGTGAGGCACTGGCACTGACTCTTCAGGTTTACAAATATTATATTTTGACCTAAACCAAAATATAATATTATTTTCAAAAGCTTTTTTTGTCTGATGCTTCGATTAATTTTAAACAGACAGTTCAACAAAAGGATACCCAAAAAATGTAATTTTATCATTTAAATATTGAATTGTTCTCTCTTAGTAAGATCCCATTTTCAATAAAATTGCGGTCTTACCTTGACTTGAAGATGAAGTCCATTTGCCTATCCTTCTGGACAAACATTTCTATAACTTTTTTGTAAAAGTCCTCCTTATCTTCTTGTAGTTTCAAAAGTCTATCATAAATCTAATCCATAGATTTATGATAAAAAAATTATAAAAGTAGGGTAGACATGTGGATGTTATCCGGCTGATCAAAACGTGCATTTATCTAACAGGTACGTTTCCCACAGATCTTATTTCGAGCTATTTTCTAAAATCCTCTGGAGAAATCTCATTGCTTTTTTGTGCTTACTTCCTGGTTTTAGGACGCGTCACTGCAGCTCTCTCGTCTCCTCTTCACACACCACACTTTTCGCGGCACACGTACTTACAGCCAATCAGCTCTGAATGATTTGAGATGACGTATGGTGGGGATGGTAGCTCCGTGCCCCTCTGGTCATTATTTTTTTGCCACACACATTACATTACAAAATACTCTGAGCATGCGCAGTGTAGTTTTTACAGTCACCGTTCACTTCACAGCGAGAGGAAGGGGCATAATCAGGTTTTGTCCCACATGGCTCTAAACAGCTCAATAGGCACACACTGTGACTGTAGACACACTAATTAGAAGAACACAGACTAAAACAGCAATGTACAGACGAATCAGATGATTAAACATGATCTTAAAATATATTTTATATATTTTTTTATTTATTTTTTTGCATTTTTGTAATCATTATTTGTAATACTTTCTGCTGACACTAGGTGGGGCTGTGCCCCACCTGCCCCTAATGACCAGTCGCCACTTGTACTTAAGTATAGTCCTTGAGTAAATGTACTTAGTTCCTCTCCTGATCTGTAAAGCTCTCCCAACATATGCAGGTTAGCATCCGGCAGCTTCTATGTGCTGGGGACCCGTACTGTACATTTCTCTCATCACACTTTGGGCTCCTCAACATGTGTGGGTTCCCAGCAGGACTCTCTGAGCTGCAGACACATTCTTTCTGTGACTTTGTTCCAGATATTTGGAGCATAATAACTGAAGCTGTTTCTCCATGTTCAGGAACTCCCATCCCCCGAGTCCTGCGGCAGGAAGCGCTCCTTCTCTCCAAGAACTCCTGGACCCTGCAAGCTGGTCCAGAACCAGAGTCCCAGTGAGGAGTCCAGCCAGTCCACCTCTCAGAGTTAAACTAAACTACAACATTATTAAAGATCATGTTTAAAGTTAAAAAAGGATGCTTTCAGACTGAATCCAGAAGTTTCTCAAGCTGCAGTCAAAGCAGGTCATTTGAGAAATATATAAAACACTTATAAAACTGTAATAAGAATTACTCTGAATACTTTCTTTGGACATTTTATTACATTTGTTTTCAACAAATATTTCAAATGTTTCTGACTTTCTATCCGAGTGCTTTTCTCATGAATTAACGGCATAATTTCATTTCCATCTTTATTTCGAACAGATTAAAAAAACAAATATAAAATAACACATGTGAAAAACAGAATACCGTATTGTTAGAATACAGTATTTATCAATATTCATATTAATAATAATAATAAATCATATGTGTCCGAAAGGGAGCGGGAGGAAGCAAATGCTTATTAATTCCCACCCCTTACTTACCGCTGATCAATGATTATCCTTTAAATCATTCCTGCAAGTTATTCCTACTTACATATTTACATTTATACATAAATTTACAATCATTTCTCATCTTCAATCACCTTAAATCATTCTCATAGTTTTCCAAGAAAGTGTTTCTGTACATCCTTTTAAAGTGAATTATATGTGTGCTTTGTTTGAACTCCTGCTCCAAACCGTTCCATCAAATCACCCCACAGATTGTTCTACTCATACTTCTCACAGTTGTTCTGACCTTGAGTTGTTTCAAATGTAGATTTCCTCTCAAATTATACCCGCCCTCTCTGTCTATGAACAATGTTTGTAATTTCCTAGGAAGTAGATTATGTCTTGCTCTGTACATGATTTGTGCCGTTTTAAATGTAACCAGATCAGTAAACTTCAGTGTGTGTGACTTCAAGAATAATGAATGAGTGTGTTCAAGATATCCAACATTATTGATTATTCTTATAGCCCTTTTTTGTAATGTGCATAACGGCTGTAGGTTGGTTTTGTAAGTGTTTCCCCAAATCTCCACACAGTAACTCAGACATGGCAATATGAGTGTATTATACAGAGCATAATGAGTTGTAGTCCAGAATGTGTCTTGCTTTCCCCAATATTGAGATAGTCTTAGCCAGTTTAGCTTTTACATGATTGATATGAGGTTTCCAGCTGATCTTGTGCTCTCAAACCACACCAAGGAACTTCATTTCATATACTCTTTCTATGTTTATGTTATCTAGTATTAATTGCACCTGAGGATTTGTTTTATGTTTTCCAAATAGCATAATATTTGTTTTGCTTATATTTAATGTTAATTTGTTTTTAAATCTTTTTTTTTTTTCTTGTGTATTTCATAAACAGGATATTTGATTTTTTTATAATAAATATTATTTTCTCAGCTCTGTGATAAAAAAACAGATTTTTAAAATAAATATCCCACTTCTTGTACTTATATCCTGATTGATGAGTCAGCAGTAAAGCAGCCAGGCGTTAACGGTCAGCTGGCATGTGTATCTGTTCATTGGCTCATATGTGTAGCATGTTTAATGGCAGTGTGTTGAAAATGGCTGACAGGTGAATATGTCAGATCTCTGTGTGTTACTCAGAGAACCGTGTGCAGTGTTTTAGAAAGTGCAGAGTTGAATTGCAGATTGTGTGCAGAGCTGAAAATGTGTTTAGAGTTCTGTTTGATTTGATCCAGCCAGTTCTACCACAGCAAAGCATAAGGGCTCAGAGCTTGGACCTATTGTGTTCACATTATATACGCTTCCTTTAGGCAATAAGGAATCACTCGGGACATTTTCATTGTTATGTGGATGATACTCAATTATACACAATATAGACAAAAGTATTGGACCACCTACACATTAGAGAGATACCACAGGTCCTTCCTTCCTGCAGCGGTCAGACTATATAACCACCACGACCCCTAGTAGACCCCCCACACAACAACACAGACTAGAACACCTATTATCATTTCTTTTTTTAATCTTTAATACTTTGTTGTATGCATGCTTTTGGTAACATGAAGCTGTCTCTGGCTCTTTCTGCTGTAACAATGTACATGTATCCTCTGGGACTAATAAAGGGATTCTGATTCTGATTCTGATTCTGATTCTGATTCTGATTCTGATTCTGATTCTGATTACACCTACAGGAGCTTTCAGGACATCCCATTCCAAACTCTTAGGCATTCATTTGAAGTTGGTCCCCCTTTGCAGCTATAACAGCTTCCACTCTTCTGGGAAGGCTTTCTACAGATCGTGGAGTGTGTCTGTGGGAAGCCCTTTCATCCAGAAGAGCACTAGTGAGGTCACACACTGATGCTGGACGAGAGGCTGGCTCTCCGTTCTAGTTCATCCCAAAGGTGTTCAGTGGGGTTGAGGTCAAGTTCTTCCACACCAAACTCATCCACCCAGGCCTTGATGGAGCTGCTTTGTGGGGCTCAGTCATGCTGGAAGTCTTTAAAGGTGGGGTAGGTCATTTTGGAGAAACCGGCTCGAGATCGCTAGAATTTGAAAATACACAGCCTGAGAAAATCTGCCACTTCCTTACAGAGCCCCTCCTCCAACACACACGAACGCGCACATGACCAATGAGGGCACGAGATAAGTTTGTGCACAGATGGAAGGCTGACAGGCAGGTAGGCCATCCAGTTATTTTAGCCGGGCCGGCTCAGATGATTGGTCGTGCTTTTTACAGTACTACGGCTTCCACAGATGATATTTTTTAATGGATCTTTTGTCAAAGCACTTCAGATATTCATTGCTATCGGGATGTTAAGAGCATTCCATGGAATATAACACAAAGTGTATCTCGAGCCGGTTTCTCAAACTTACCTACCCCACCTTTAAGAGAAGGTCCAAGATGATAAACTATGGCAGTGTATTAGGGCCAGGCTTAAGAGGTAAAACAAATCATTTGAGAATAAAGTCGAAATGTGGAAAGGCAGCATTTCGTGAATAAGGTCAAAATTCAATACATTGAAAATAAATTGGAAAAATTGAGATTAAAGATGAAAAAATATTTTAGAAACAAGACGAAATATCTAGAATGAATACAACAGAATACAAAATGAAAAAGTAGTTCCCTCTTAAAATGTCTAACAATTCCTAAGACTTGTAAGATTGACTTTTGAATAACAACTAATAATACATTTCAGAATAATAAATACAATGCCTTTATTACTTTTGTAAAACTAAAGCCAGAGAGAGATTTCAAACTGAGACAGGAGTTATTATTGTTGTACTTAAATTGAGTCTGTTGTACAAGCTGTCAATCATTTTATAATGTTCTATATATTTTAATTTATATTTTTAAAAATGGACTTGCTCCGAAAAGAAATTGGGAGACAATTTAGATTTTTCTTTAATTATAATTTTCAAGGAATAAAGTCAAGAAGTTTAAGAAAGAATAAAGACAGAGAATAAGGTATACATGTGAACATGAATGAAGCCCACAGAGAACAGAGAAGCATAACTTTAATAATGAACATGATCAAATCTAAGGATGTGAGAGTGACCTCTGATACGACACATATTTCATTCAGGAGGGAGAGGAGGAGGAGGAGGGGGAGGAAGAGCAGGAGGAGGATTAGTTTAATAAGCCAGGTGATGCATAACTCAAAAATATTTACCTAACATTTACGCTTTCTAACGCCACACCCTTTGCACACTTCACGGCACGTCCACACGGCAGCGTCGCGTTGAAGCTTGTCGGTGGGCGACCAACAACCAATCACATTAATCTCCCGCCCCGGACACACAAGCATGCGGTTTGATTGGCTAGAGCTTGTCCTGGCATATGATTTGATTGGCTGGCGCTTGAATAGTTGAACTTTTCTCAACTTTCGAAGCGAGCAACGGAGGAGGCAAAGCGACGCGAGGGAACCACAATGCAGTTCGGCAAAGCGTCACGTCACCCCATTCAAAGTGAAGGGGAAGCGTCTCCGTTGAAGCACGCGACGCTGCCGTGTGGACGTACCGTCAGTGTACACATCAACCCGCCAAAATAAAACACCCCTCACATGTTAATAGACTTTATTCTGATAATATAAAACACAACAAACAGATAGCAGACATTTGTCAATAAAGTCCTGCTCACTCCGACACAAGCACTTCACATTTGTCCAACACACGAAGCACAACGTGAGAATCAGCAGCATGTCGTAGAGAGAGTTCAGAAACACACGTGCACATATTTCTTATTCTTTATATTTAGGTGACGATGCATGGTGGGGAGCCGAAGAGATCTGTAAGGCTGGAAAAAAGAAATATATGATTGGAGCTTCATCCCTGCATCTGAGACCGGAGCGTGTCCACGGAGTTACATAGAAAATAAAATATTAGTTTTTAAATCGATTTTTGATGTCCTTGTGTTTCATTTTTTTAAATCTAGATTTCATCGGCGGTCGTCTTCTGTTCACTTCTGACGATCCTGGGAGGAAGAGATGAGAGAAGACAGTTTCATCCATTTCTCATCATATTATCAACACAGTGCTTCTCAAAGTGCGGTCCGTGAGCGCCCCCTAGTGGTCCGTGAGCATATTGGTAAAATGTCACATTTGAAATAAATAAATAGAGCTGTGCGATTATGGCAAAAATCATAATCACGATTATTTTGGTCAATAATTGATATCACGATTATTAAATACGATTATTCATTGACTTTGAAAACATCCATTTATTGAACTTTAAAACAAATACAAATAATAATTTGAACAGTATCTTATAACTGTTGATTACCCTGAACGTATAATTCAACTGAAAAACTTAAAATAAATAATATCAAAATAATAAATACCAATAAACAAGATCAACAAATATTTTGGAGCGCACTTCCACAAGCTACTTATCATATATAAAAATATGATAAATACAAATAAATTAGACCAAAATAAATTAGATCAAATATGTTGCACTGTCACAACCTAGCAAAGCAAAATAATTGATTAATTCGATTATGTTGTTTTCGTAATTGTGGCAGGCCAAAATCGTAATTGCGATTAAAATACGATTAATTGCACAGCCCTATAAATAAATACATTTAAGTTTTCCGCACTCTCGCGGGAATATCTCCGCAATGGAGCGAGTTGAATGATTTAGCCCAGCGCAACACCTTCGTCACACATGTTGCCACTTGTTTGTACCATTTTCAGGCGATTTGTAATCTGTTCTAGAAAAACGATGTGGTTTCTTTTAGATTTCAAGAAGCGTATAAAACAAACAATGAATTTATTTTATGAACATTTATCCACGCTGAAAGTAGATTTAGATGTGTTAGGAGTGAGATAGAGATTATTATCTAATTAATATATGCATCCGATGAAGCATTGCGTGAAGTCTGTTGATGATCAGAGGCTGTTGTTGGGGCTGCATAAACGTTTTTTTATTTTAGTTTTGTAGGCAGACCATGCAGGCCAGCCCGATGGTCACCAAGGTTCATGTTTTAATAGCATTTTTACAAGAAAAGCCCAGACGAGCCTAACATGTGAAAAAAGGGCTTAGACCTCAGAGAGTTCAACTTGGGCCTGCGACCATAGTTTTACTGTATTTTGTTTTGAAAATCCACAGCGGAGGTTTGTGTCGTACTACCTGTGAGTCTGTTGGATAGGACATAAACTCCGTAATAAATGTAGTCTACTTTTCATAAGAGGTGTAAAACTTGAGAGCATTTTAAATCGCATTTGAACGAAATGCTTATATAATCTGTAGTAGTATTTGTATTGTTGATTTAATGTGTGAACGAGGCGATACAGAGAAGTGAAGCTGTCACTATTAGGCTGTAGTTTGTTATTAACTGTTGGAGCGGTGAGCAGGCCTTTTGGTTCTGGATATTTGTGGAGTCAGGTGGTCCGTGAGTGTTTGCTTATTGGTTAAGTGTCCTTGGTATGAAAAAGTTTGAGAAACACTGATCAACAGAGAATAAGAAGTGTTGTACAGTTATAGTGCCTGGAGATTGTTTAAGTCGCCCTAATGAGACACATTTGATTTAAAATAACAAGTCAATACAATTTAAAAAAAACACATGCAACATACAATACTGGAAATGTTAATAAAGAAAACAATATACCAAAAGATACTGTTTTTAATTGGGATTTAAATCAAAATAAATGTGTTGTGTTAGAAATTTAAAATCAATGTTTACAGATGAAGAACTCATTAATTTCAGTATTGTGTTCACACCTTAAAAGGTGTGAAAGGAGGGATTGTTAGAAATTAAAATCAATGTTAATAGCATAATTAATACATATCAATCAAAATCAAAATCAAAATAAATGTGTTGTGTTCTCTGATTGCAGCTGGGATTGAGATCCACTGTGGAGCAGCCTTAACAGAAAATGAAATGTGGATAATCTTGTCAGCGTGTGTGATGATGATTTCCTATCGTTGTGTTTCTGAAGCAGTGATGAGAATAAACACATTTATTGTCTTTGTTTGTACAATGACTCCTTCAGTGGTTTTAAAGGGGACCTATCATGCAAAATGCACTTTGTGATGTCTTCTCTACATCAACATGTGTCCCCGGTGTGTCGGGGAACTCACGCAGCGTCAGAAAATAAAACCCTCTCTCTTTTCCTCCGTACCCAAATCTCTAAAAACGGGGGAACAACGGAGCTGATCCAGATTTGCGTCCGATATGACGTAATATCTGAAATGTGGACCCACGGCCCAATCAGAAACGTTGCTATCAGAAACAATGCCCGACTGTTTTGGACGTAATATGGTCGGTTTTTCATATATTTGTATATATCTGAGACCTATGCTATTGCCTACAAATAGCACGATAGGTGACCTTTAAAACCAACATTTCCCCTCTAAAAGTATTTGTATTGTGTTAACATGAACATGTGTACGTTTCAGAGAGATGTTAATAAAGCAGATGTTACCTGATCGATTCTGGACCGGTTCTGTATTGGGGCAGGTTCATAGCTCTGGAAAAGAAATGTGGTTATGTTAGAAAAACACGTCATCATATTTTAATATTTCATCATCAAACCTTCAAACTGTTTTAATGAAGATAAAGAGGAATCAGCTTTGAGACTGTTATAAGGGGGAGGGTCTTTTTTTACAACGTTTATTACTTTTAAAGGTCCCCTATTATACTCTTTATTTTAATCAATATCTCAGATATATCCAGAGCCTGTCTCTGATTGGCTGAAACACCAAACAGATCATTGCAGCATCCCATAATCCCCTCTGTTAACTTTCAGCCCTGTTTCAAAAGTGCTGATTCTCTGTCTGTTACTTTAGATCAGGGGTCGGCAATCTTTTTGATATGAAGTGCCATTAAAAAAAAAAATTGTTATCAGCGTGCCAACGATCGAGAATTATCAACCGGGGGGGGGGGGGGGTTTGAGGAGCTTGACGTTCGTGAACTATCAACAGGAGGGCGGGGGAGCCTCGCTGCGGGGAAGCAGTGTGTGGACCTGTCAGCACAACTTACATGATGCCGAATTTAATAAACACATTTAAATAATTGGTTTAAAACGGCATTATAATAAGGACGATCGTCCGTTCTGTGATTCTCCAGAACACACATGTTATGATATTAGGGTCATGCAGAGTGAGATGAGATCGCTGTCCCTTTAAGAGAGAGAGAGAGGGGTGTGGCGTGTGCATGTGTGTATGGTGCAGAGCAGATTGCAGGTTGAAAAAACCCTCAGCTCCGAGCTCGGCAGAATCTGCACCTGGCTCGCCGATAATAAATTATCATTACACCTGGGTAAAACAGAGTCCATTCTCTTCGGTTCGAAACATAATCTCAGCAAATCCGACGACTTCTCAGTTGCAGTGGGTGACATTATTGTCACAAGTAAGAAGGAAATTACATACCTAGGATCTAGTGATGTGTCGGTCGCGAACGAGCCGGCTCGAAGAGCCGGCTCTTTTAAGTGAACGACGGGAGCCGGCTCGCGCCCGCGAACGAGCCGTTTTTTTTTGTTATTTTGTTGTTAAGTAATACAAGACAGAATGATATGATGATCTCCGCGCTACAGCTGCTCCGTGCATGCATGCAGTGACATGTAATATCCAAGGATTAGAGACTGTTGGATGCTGCTGTACTGAGCATTGCAATATATTTATTTTCACTATGTCATTTATTTATGATTATCCTTGGGCTCAGCAAAGATTTGATGTCAGCTGTTGCTGTCTTTTTTTCTATAGTTAATACTGAAATAGAGCCCTGCTGTTTAGTCAGGGCCTTTTCTTTAAATATAATTTTAAAATGTCGATACAGTAGCCCCTTTATTTAAATGTCTATGCTTAAGTTTTTATCTCAATCTCAATCTTTATTTATTTATATAGCACATTTAAAACAACCTTCAGTTGACCAAAGTGCTGTACAGGCAATACATATTAAATAACACAATGGGAGTACAATAATAAAACAATAATTAAAAACATGATAAAAAGCACAATAACTAGAAAAATATTTAAAAAAAACACATACAAATGTAAAAATGTAATGTTCAACTAGTATTAAAAGCCAGTGCAAAGAGGTGAGTTTTTAGCTGAGATTTAAAAAGTTCAATAGACTCAGCAGTCCGGATATGTACTGGGAGGCTGTTCCACAGTCTAGGAGCTGCAACACTGAAAGCCCTGTCACCTCGGGTTTTTTATAGGTGTTGCTATCTGCTTTGTGTAGCGTGGTTCAAGCAAGTCAGTGCATTCATTGGGTGGTATCAGAGAGATACAAGGGTCTGTAAATGCAATGAAAACTGGCCACAGCAAATAATTGATATTAAACATGTAATTTTTACTTTTGAATACTTCAGTACAAAGGATGTATTGAATAATGTAAGTAATATGTGTACACATATAAATCATGAGTCAAAACAGGGCTACATTTGATTGAATTATAAAAGGTATAATATGTAGTAAACTGAAGAGCCGTTTGGGAGCCGAAAGAGCCGGCTCTTCTTGGTGAGCCGAGCCAAATGATCCGGCTCACCAAGAAGAGCCGGAATTCCCATCACTACTAGGATCTATTCTTGAGGCAAACCTCTCCTGTGACAAAATGGCATCCAATGTAATAAAAAAAGTCAATCAAAGAACTAGATTCCTATACCGGATCTCCTCTCTGGTAAACAAAAACACCCTGAAAACTCTGGCAGGAGCACTCATTCAAGGGTACTATGACTATGCTTGCACGTCATGGTACCATAGCACCTCCAAGGCGCTAAAAATAAAACTTCAAACATCGCAAAATAAACTGGTCAGACTACTGCTTGACCTTTCATCTAGAACCCACCTCACCTCTGCCCACTTTGACAACCTAGGATGGCTTAGAGTAGACGACAGAGTACAGCTACTTGCAATGGGCCTGGTCTACAAGATCCACTACACCTCTATGGTACCCATGTACATGTCAAAATTCTTCCCAAAGGTCAAGGAATACCATGATCATAATACCAGAGGGAGCTCCACAAATCATGTAAAACCCAGATTTGGCACAAAAAAAGGGGAATACACGTTTCGCAATTATGCCACATCAAGGTGGAACGCTCTTCCCACAACTGTAAAGGAAAGTAAAACTATACTTACCTTCAAAACCTCTCTTAAAGAGCACCTTCGGGGGAAAGCATTGCAAAACTGGCCCCGGTAATGGTACAAATCTCAACCTGTCGTACAATGGACAGCTTCCCCCCCCCATCTATGTATATACTCGCATTTTAGACTCTGTTACTAACTGTATATCTGTAGACTTGGTATGTCTTAAATGTCCGGTTAGGATGTATTAGAACGAAATCTAAAATGAAAATTGTAAATAAGCCATCTGTATGTAAAAAACCACCTGTATGTAAATTGTAAATAAGCCATCTGTATGTCAAATATGTCTTATATGTCTTAAATGATATGATGAATTGGAAATGGGGGACCCTGATGTAAACAAGACGAAAGTCTTTCTCTGGTCTGCATCCCCTTAACAATTGTATGTTTTGAGCTGTACTGTACTGTACCCAATATACAAGCTGTTAATAAACTTTTCAATCAATCAATCAATGGTAGAGCGAGAGTGAGCGAGCGTGTATGTTTCTGGAAGAGAAACGAGGCAGCAGAAAAACAGAGGTCTGTGATGTATTTTGTGAAACAGAAGAACAGCTAAATAAATACAACGGCCTCCCAAGAAGAGCTCGCCTCTCTCCAGTCATTTAAGCTAAAGCGGGTTATTGAACCTGAAGCTTGTTGCTTCTGCCCTCCTCGACTACGGTTTGGGAGCCGACAGGAAAGTTCAACACACAGATGGCCAGTCCGCCCCTTTGTAGCATATTATTTCAATGAGAGATGAGCAGATCGCCACTGGGCTTTCAACTAAAGACACAGCCACGCAAAAACTGCAGCATTTGTACAGCTCCTTATGGGTACTGCAATTTGTGAAGTGCTTTCCTCTGTGGTGAAACGATCAGCCCTGCACCACGGAGGAAAGCGGCAGAAAGTCACCTGGAGTTAAACAGAGCGGGGCTGCGCTGCGTGCATGGCTTCCTTCTGCAGGTAACGGGGAGACGAGCTCTGGTGGTGGTCTCGTTCAGGATCCGAAAATACAATTTAAATATCTTGCACACTTATTCCACTTATTCCTAGTGTGCCACTGGTTACGGTGCCGCATGCCAACATTGGCACGCGCCACCGTAACCAGTGCCAGGGGTTGCCGACCCCTGATATAAAGTGTTGGGAAAATACTGAATGTCCTCTTCCAACATGAGAGTAACATGATAACAAAGGTATCCCAACTGTAGCTGTGTGCATGACAGGATGTGTGATTACCTAGAAGCAGTGGCGGCTCCAGAGTATTTTTGTTGGGTAATCTATGGTAGGGCTAACCCATACAGTGGTGGGGCTCAAATCAGTATTTGCAATGTAATTACATACACGCTCCCCCCGACAGTGAAACGCCACGCGTGAGGTTTAGATTATTTCCCTGTCTCAATCCGAATTGAACTGTATGAAATAAAAAGGCACATTTGTCTTGTAGTAAATAAAAAGGGCGACCTGGAGCCAATCCTGCAATTTCCCCACAGGTGAAAGAGTTGACATGCTGAAGACCCAACCCCTGCAGGCGGGTCTGGGGGATTTTCCCCCAGGAGATTTTTTGAAATACTAACATAAAATACACATTCTGGTACTCTCTTGAGAAGAAAAATAAATAAATCTATTACTACACATTTAAAAAAATGAATGGCATTTTAGTTTTGTGTGACTTTGTTCTGAAAGCTGAACCTGCTGCTCCTCACAGAGAGAGGGAAGAGGCTGTGTGAATTACTTTACATTGTGGATAAGGGTGGATAAGCCCCCATTGTTCTGTGAGTCAAAATGAAAGACAGCCCACACACCTATCATCAAACCGTGGGGTCTTATTTCATTACGTGTTGATTTTCTATCAACACATGTTGTATCGATGTATAGATGTACTACAGCAAAAGTATTCTCCGTCGGGACTTCCTGCAACAACACCACGCCGTTATCGTGATTCTGATTGGCCAGAAGACATTATCATAGATGTTTTATTGAGAAGACGATCACTACGTGACAAAAGTTTTCAAAACCGTTTCTATTCTTCGGTATTTCCCATATACAGTCTATGGTATTTCCAGACAAGTGGCTACAGAAATCAATCTTACTAACTTGTTTATCTATCAAGCCACTAGACGCTTTAAACAGACATTTTATAACTTACATTACTTACAGTTGAAGAGACGAGAGATGTGTTTGCACAAAATAAAATAACAAACTTTTACACATGCAAGAAAGAAAAGAGGGCTTTACAATAGTCAAAACAAAGAGGCAAATAAAATAACAAACAACTTAGGTATTCTTTCTGTCTTGATAAGGCTTATATAACTTCATAACTTAAAGGGTAATCGAACGGTTAGAAACTGTTCCTCGACGCCGTCCTTCTGACAGGTTTCCCATCTCTGTCACTTAAAGGAGGCGACGTGGGAATTGTAGTCTTTTATACTCTGGTTGACTACAGACGTCACGATTAGGTGGCCTTTCTTATAAAAACGAAATACTGGCTCTAACAATATGTCATGAATGTTATTTATGTTTAGTTTCTCATTCGGTGTGTGTGGACTACTTGGTGGCATATTATTTTATTTTTTTAACGTACACGGTTTTGATTTAATTATGAAAGTGTGACCTCAGCTCCTATCAAAAGTCCATAATAAGCGTTTAGCCGAATAAAATATGTTCCATTCGAGACCCATTTTTATAAAATCCATCCCTGTATAATAGACTTGCTTTATATCTTGTTATTGTTCATTTGTAAATTCAACATGTATTTTTTCTACTTTCTTGTATTTTAATTTGTATTGTACAATGCCATGTCTTTTTATGCTGCTGCAACACAAACATGTCCCAAATTGGGATCTATAAGTACTTCAGGGCCCTGGCTTTAGAAATGAACTTGCGACTATTCTCCACCAGAGGGAGACATTTTCCCATATTACCTTATGGGGGAAAATACATGCTATGGTTTCCTGCACAAAATAATTAAATGTCAAATACAATTAAGAAAAGTGTTAAATGTTAAACATTTTATTCAGTGGATATTATATATTTATTTATAATGTCATGGCAGTATTTGATGCAGATAATACACAGGAGAATAATAAAAGTAAATACATTTAAAAAATATAAAAAATGTACCAGTGATGTTCAAGTAAAAACAGTTGCAAGAATCCTGACAAACATCAGATGAAGCCATACAAATTACAATAATAGAAATAATAATGATGGAACAAAATTATAATAATTAGTACAAATACAAAAAGAATTGGTGAATAAAGAAAAAAAGACATTTAAAAAAACAATAATATGTAATAAATATAATAGAAATACAAGATTACATAGGTAAATAAATAAATAATATATATATATATAAAATGACCCACTGATGTTCCTCTCTCTCCTCTCAGCCCGTCCACAGCCGTCACCCCCACCTCCTCCTCAGCCTCCAGCCGCCTCGGCTCCGCCCAGGTTCCCACCACCCCCATCACTCCCGTCACCCCCACCAACACCTCCGTCACCTCCCCCACTGCCTCCTCCCCCCCCGCCTCCTCCCCCGCTACCGCCGCCGGGACCCCCAACGCCTCGCAGCCCATCCAGCTGAGGGACCTGCAGAGCATCCTGGCCACCATGAACGTCCCCTCGGGGGGGCAGGGAGGTGAGAGAGTACACCAGAAGTACTGAGAGGAAGTAACTAAGTACATGTTGATGCAGGGGGGTGAGAGAGTACACCAGAAGTACTGAGAGGAAGTAACTAGGTACATGTTGATGCAGGGAGGTGAGAGAGTACACCAGAAGTACTAAGAGGAAGTAACTAAGTACATTTTGATGCAGGAAGGTGAGAGAGTACACCAGAAGTACTGAGAGGAAGTAACTAAGTACATGTTGATGCAGGAAGGTGAGAGAGTACACCAGAAGTACTGAGAGGAAGTAACTAAGTACATGTTGATGCAGGGAGGTGAGAGAGTACACCAGAAGTACTGAGAGGAAGTAACTAAGTACATGTTGATGCAGGAAGGTGAGAGAGTACACCAGAAGTACTGAGAGGAAGTAACTAAGTACATGTTGATGCAGGGAGGTGAGAGAGTACACCAGAAGTACTGAGAGGAAGTAACTAAGTACATTATGATGCAGGGAGGTGAGAGAGTACACCAGAAGTACTGAGAGGAAGTAACTAAGTACATGTTGATGCAGGGAGGTGAGAGAGTACACCAGAAGTACTGAGAGGAAATAACTAAGTACATGTTGATGCAGGGGGGTGAGAGAGTACACCAGAAGTACTGAGAGGAAGTAACTAAGTACATGTTGATGCAGGGGGGTGAGAGAGTACACCAGAAGTACTGAGAGGAAGTAACCAGAGGTGGCAAAAGTACACACATACTTTACTCAAGTAGAAGTACAGATACTCGTGTTTAAAAATACTCTGGTAAAAGTAGAAGTACTGACTAAACTTCTTTACTCAAGTAAAAGTAAAGAGGGCTTTGAAATGTACTTCAGTAAAAAGTACCCATAACTAGCAGCTGTTTTAAAGAGTACCTGACCTCCCTTTATATTAATAGAACAATAATGTCATTGTTAGCTAATGAATGTGAGTACTTCTACTTTTACTCGAGTACAAGATGTGAGTGCTTGTACTTTTACTAAAGCACAGATCTGAGTACTTGTACCTTTACTAAAGCACAGATGTGAGTACTTGTACCTTTACTAAAGCACAGATCTGAGTACTTGTACCTTTGCTAAAGCACAGATCTGAGTACTTGTACCTTTGCTAAAGCACAGATGTGAGTACTTGTACCTTTTCTAAAGCACAGATGTGAGTACTTGTACCTTTGCTAAAGCACAGATGTGAGTACTTGTACCTTTACTAAAGCACAGATGTGAGTACTTGTACCTTTGCTAAAGCACAGATGTGAGTACTTGTACCTTTACTAAAGCACAGATGTGAGTACTTGTACCTTTGCTAAAGCACATATCTGAGTACTTGTACCTTTACTAAAGCACAGATGTGAGTACTTGTACCTTTGCTAAAGCACAGATCTGAGTACTTGTACCTTTGCTAAAGCACAGATGTGAGTACTTGTACCTTTGCTAAAGCACCGATGTGAGTACTTGTACCTTTACTAAAGCACAGATGTGAGTACTTGTACCTTTGCTAAAGCACAGATCTGAGTACTTGTACCTTTACTAAAGCACAGATCTGAGTACTTGTACCTTTACTAAAGCACAGATCTGAGTACTTGTACCTTTGCTAAAGCACAGATCTGAGTACTTGTACCTTTACTAAAGCACAGATCTGAGTACTTGTACCTTTACTAAAGCACAGATCTGAGTACTTGTACCTTTGCTAAAGCACAGATCTGAGTACTTGTACCTTTACTAAAGCACAGATCTGAGTACTTGTACCTTTACTAAAGCACAGATCTGAGTACTTGTACCTTTACTAAAGCACAGATCTGAGTACTTGTACCTTTGCTAAAGCACAGATGTGGTTTCTGCAGTGGATCTGTCCAGCGTGCTCACCCCGGAGGTCATGGCTCCCATCCTGTCTCACCCCGAGGTGCAGCAGCGTCTCTCTCCCTTCCTCCCCTCCGGAGAGTCTCTCCCTCAGAGCAGCGAGGAGCTGAACAACACTCTCAGCTCGCCTCAGTTCCAGCAGGTATCAATATCATCCTCAATACGTCTGATTGAGTTCAGTGCCAACATGTTGCTTCCTCATGTTCATTTAACACCGCCATGTTTATGAGAGATACAGACGTTTGTATATAAAATACTTCTACCTTTTTACTGTGTGTGTGTGTGTGTGTGTGTGTGTGTGTGTGTGTGTGTGTGTGTGTGTGTGTGTGTGTGTGTGTGTGTGTGTGTGTGTGTGTGTGTGTGTGTGTGTGTGTGTGTGTGTGTGTGTGTGTGTGTGTGTGTGTGTGTGCAGGCGATGAGTATGTTCAGCAGTGCGCTGGCCTCAGGTCAGTTAGGTCCTCTGATGAATCAGTTTGGTCTCCCTGCAGAAGGAGGTGAGTTTCACATCTACTGAGGAAATTCACCTTCATGGTTTAGGTTCTTTTTGGACATTTATACTGTGACTTATTCTACGATTCTTAGGATTTAGGATCGTTTTACACTATACTACATAGTATTGCCAAAGCATTCTGCACAAAGCGTTATAACACACTACGATTATATGACTTTTTCTAATTTCTACACATTTTCTGGGATTTTTCACAACACACTACGCAGTGGCGTTTTTATATGTACAAAAGTGGTGGGGCACAAAAAACTTAGATGTCTATATATAAGCTTCTGCAGTGACGTGCAGTGAGGTTCATGGCTGGTGAGGCACTGGCACTGACTCTTCAGGTTTACAAATATTATATTTTGACCTAAACCAAAATATAATATTATTTTCAAAAGCTTTTTTTATCTGATGCTTCGATTAATTTTAAACAGACAGTTCAACAAAAGGATACCCAAAAAATGTAATTTTATCATTTAAATATTGAATTGTTCTCTCTTAGTAAGATCCTATTTTCAATAAAATTGCGGTCTTACCTTGACTTGAAGATGAAGTCCATTTGCCTATCCTTCTGGACAAAAATTTCTATTACTTTTTTGTAAAAGTCCTCCTTATCTTCCTGTAGTTTCAAAAGTCTATCATAAATCTAATCCATAGATTTATGATTCAAAAATTATGAAAGTAGGGTAGACATGTGGATGTTATCCGGCTGAACAAAACGTGCATTTATCTAACAGGTACGTTTCCCACAGATCTTATTTCGAGCTATTTTCTAAAATCCTATGGAGAAATCTCATTGCTTTTTTGTCGAGGGAAGCCATGCGCAGCTTACTTCCTGGTTTTAGGACGCGTCACTGCAGCTCTCTCGTCTCCTCTTCACACACCACACTTTTCGCGGCACACGTACTTACAGCCAATCAGCTCTGAATTATGTGAGATGACGTATGGTGGGGATGGCAGCTCAGTGCCCCAATGGTCATTATTTTTTTGCCACACACATTAAATAGGAAAATACTCTGAGCATGCGCAGTGTAGTTTTTACAGTCACCGTTCACTCAGACAGTGAGAGGGAGGGGCATGATCAGGTTTTGTCCCACTTGGCTCTAAATAGCTCAATAGCATAGACTGTATATATAAAGCTCAATAGGCACACACTGTAGACACTAATTAGAAGAACACAGACTAAAACAGCAATGTACAGACGAATCAGATGATTAAACATGATCTTAAAATATATTTTATATTTTTTTTAATTCATTTTTTGCTGTGCCCCACCTGCCCCTAATGACCAGTCGCCACTGACACTACGTCATTTTACCGTGACCTTTTTTAGTAGATGCTATACTCTGACCCACTTCATTGACTGGTATTTCTTTAGACTGTGTTAATAATAAAACCATCAGTTCTCGCAGCAGTAATTCATGATCACTTCTCTCTCTCTCTGCAGACGTCGAAGCCTTTGCCAAAGCCATGGAGACGGAGACAAAGTCGGACCAGGACGGAGACTCCAAGGACAAGAAGGACGACGACGAGGACATGAGTCTGGACTGAGAGCTTAATATTTAACGTATTTATTTAGCTGCTACAGCTGTTTTGTAACTATTACACATTAAGGATGAAGATCTAAGATGAATATAGAAACTGTCGCTAAGACCCTCCCTCCCCCCGCCGATTAATATAAACTGAACAGTTATTAAACCTGCATGACAACTGTACATCCTGAGAAATAAACTCTCTGCTGTGTTTTTATTGGTTTTGTGAAGGATTACTTTATTGTAGACTCAACTGCTTCATTAACTCTATTCACTATTAGACCCCATTTACACGGGAACGTTTGCGTTTACGCACCGTATGCGTTTTCAAAAAAGTATTCCGTTCACACGCATTCGATTCATTTAACGTGTCCGTTCACACGAGACCGCTCGACCCGCTGGAAACGCTGTAGTACATATGCCGGGCCTGTAAGTGGCGCTGCTGCCGCCACAAAATACACCAAAAGCAGCGAAGAAGACCCCGGAGCATGGTTGCCCTTCTGTTTATGCCCCGCGGTGGATTTAGCAACATGTAGTTCATGTAGTTCTCCATGTCCACTTGTTGCTGATAGTTGTGGTAGAGGAGCTGTAGATTTTGCACTAACATCTGTAGCATGGTCAGTAGCAGGAGCAGTAGCAGTAGCTAATGACAGTAGCTACTGACCATGCTACAGCAGTGAGGAGCAGAGGTGGGGAGAGGCGGGGCTATGGCTTCATCTATCGGGAAATGATCTTATAGGACTGACGGTGCGTCTACACAGCAGCGTTAAAAAAATCTTGAAACGCTTCTGCCCATTCACTTTGAATGGGGTGACGTCACTTTCCCTCACTTTTCGCCGAAATGCATTGTGGGCAGGCGAGCGGAGATTTTCAGGATTTTCAGTATTCAAAGTTGAACAATGTTCAACTTTTGAGGCTGAGGTGGAAGCGTCAGCCAATCAAATCCCGTATACGCAAATCTGACAGTTCAAGCTCCAGCCAATCATGTGTATGCTGGGAGAGACATACCGCAGGTCATTTCCTCATATTCCAAAAAATGGAGGAGAAATTAGCGGTAGCGAATCAATCACCCGGTGCTTTATGACCAGACCTACCGGGATATAAACCGGAGGAGCCAGGCATGGAGGGAGGTGGCAGAGACAGTGGTATGTTTTCGCCTGTTTTGGGGAGTTTATATCCAGTTTACTTCGGGCTTTTTTGCTTCGTATGTCGCGGGCGGGAGATTCATGTGATTGGTTGTTCGCAAAAAATCCCCAAGCTTCAGATACGCCCACCTCCAAGATTTTTTTAACGCTGCTGTGGAGACGTACCATTACACACGGAGCCGTTTGCCCCCCCAGAGCGTTCTGTTTGCAGATCTATCCACCTTGGGACCCGTTATCGTTTGCGGGGTCCGTTTCCGCTGTTCCGTTACGGCCTCGTGTGAACGAACGGGCTATACGCGAGAGAAACTATGCGGATACAACCCGTTTCGTCCTCGTGTAAACGGGGCCTTAGATGTTTACCTTAAAAACAAACACAAAACTCAGGACGACTGTGGTGTTTCTGAAGATTCATTTTACAATATGATGATGATGAATATCCACCCGTTTGACGCCATACAAGGAGAACAGAACCATGTATTTTGTAATTTAACACAGTATTGTGTACGATATACGATACAATAATAATGTAATGGTCAGATCAAGTCTGACATTTTACATCACAGCAGCTCCATTTGCAACATCAACAAGGACAGATATGAAGACATGATATTATTTAGATTCCTTGACATTTCGTCATATTATGTTGAAAAAAAGTCATACTGTACTATGACTTTTTTTTTTAAATACTGTACAATGAAGTTTTTTTAAATACTGTAGTACGACTTTTTTTCAAATTGTATCGACACACAACACTATTTATTTTAGATACTTTATGAAGTCGCTTTTTCTGATATTTGAGACATACTGTACTATGACTTTTACATATTATATAATATGAGCTTTCTTTTACACACTCTATTACGAAAAATGTTCGACATACAATACTGGGACTATTTATTCGAGATACTATACTAAGTCGTTTTTGTCTGATATTTTCGACATACTATAGTATGACTTTTTAGTTAATAACCTATGCAGTGATGTTTTTAAACAGACTTTAATATGGACTTGAAACACTATGATTTTTTTAAATGTTTTTTTCAGACTTTTTTTCTGAAATGTCAAGGAATCTAAATAAATCTTCCTCCAAAGCAAAACATACATCTAGGTTTTATTGACAGAACCATGTATTTTGTAATTTAACACAGTATTTTGTACGATATACGATAATAATGTAATGGTTAGATCAAGTCTGACATTTTACATCACAGCAGCTCCATTTGCAACATCAACAAGGACAGATATGAAGACATGATATTATTTAGATTCCTTGACATTTCGTGAAAAAAAGTCATAGTATGTCACGGAAGATGATTGACTTTAGATCAATGTTTCAGACATACTGTGTTTTTTTCTTGGAATTTTCATAATTTGTTCTGAAATGTCAAGGAATCTAAATCATGTCTTCATATCTGTCCTTGTTGATGTGTCATAAACTACAGAGTATAGTACGTCTAATATTTAAAAAAACGACAGAGTATAGAATGTTGAATATTTCTATATCCCTTACTTATAGAGTTTGCTAAACCAATATCCTAATCCAACCTAGAATTAGAGTAAACCGTTGTTGTGTATTTTGGGTTTGGGATACCTTAGAGATCTAGAATTAGACACTATAGATACTGAAGCCATCGTTAGCATTACAGATCTCCTTCATAAAGGGTTACACTAGCAATGCTAATTAATGCTAACTGCTAGCTAGCTGGTGAATCTGATAACATTTAAATATTGTCCTCTTGCTGGAGCTTGACTCACTTTTTATTTGGATCATTCCAGAATTGGAGGACATTTAGACATCAAAACATTTGATTAAATTAAGCCTTTTTTTGTTTTCTTTGTATTCAGTATATTTGAGAAAATATTAAGCCATCAGAAAATGGATCAGTCCAGCTCAGACATCAATGGTTCACTTTTGTATCTGATGTTGTATTTGTTGCTTTTTAACAGCGCTCAATGGTGGGTTGAAATCACTTGAAATCTATGTATAAAAAGGTCTATTAAACTCTTGATCTAACTATAATTTAAACACAGTTGTGTTCGTCTGGTGCCAATAACAAAAAAGTCCATTCATATTATGGGAAAATAGAGTAATATGCAATAAATGCAGCAGGGTTATTAATCCAGAAACAAATATATATATATAATAGGGAACAATTTAATGCACCATTACCACTAGAGTACTTAAATATCTACACACTTTAACTAAAGTAAGGTTTTGAATGCAGGATGTTTACTGGGTGATTTTCACACTGTGGTTTTAATATGTTTATTTCAATAACTTTGTTGAGCTTATGTTTAGCTCTATTTCTATCTCACTGAACGTAGTGCCTGTATGTGAACTGGTTCATCTGGTAAGGCTGGTTATGAATCAAGAGGAGGAGGTGCAGAAAGGTACAGACAGGTGAGGGTGTTAAAGTCAGAGTGCCAGATGCCATTTTACACCTGGACGTAGCAGGAGGACAACAGGGTGAGTGTTAACACCAGGATCTGCTTTTTAACACATTATTTACTCTGTTTTACTGGATGTCAGAACATCAGCGTCCTAGAGTCCAATGAGACTTCTACAAGTGGTGTAAACTTGTATTATTTCCTGTTTTCTGATTCATCAAAGCAACATAACATGCGACAGACAGCCCAGCGCAGTCAAAATGGAGAACGGCCTGTCTGAAGTCTGACTGATTTGATGTATTCTAACCTTTATATATACAGTCTATGATTCTAACCTAACCAGGCCCGCCCTCCCTACACGCAGATCACGCATACTGCGTGGGGCCTCGCCTCACCTCGCGGAGGGGACCTCACCTCGCGGAGGGAGCCTCGTCAATCTCAAATGCGCCACAATTAGGCGCGTCGCAGTTGCTCGCAGTTCACGCGCGTGCTCCACTAGCGCCTCCCCCCCCTCCCCCGTCGACGTTCGCGCCTCATCACAAGACTTTGGCCCAATTCCAAACCACACCCTACCCACTCCGTGGCGGAGTGACACTTGCAGCTCAACGAGGCTCCCTCCTGTCAGATGGAGGGAGTAAATACAGCAGCAAGCTTTGGGACAAACTCCCCTCTCTCCGGCAGAAACAGGAAATGCCGTAACTGTATGTAACAACGGTTTCAAATCAGCTCTTGGACAAAAAATTAAAATTAATAACTCAAATAAAACTCCAAACATCTTTAATTGTGTTTTTGTAAAGCTCTTTTAGTTTTAAACCTGATGTTTATAAGCTTCTTAGTTTTTGCAACAGTCTGTAAATATACACAACTTTATAATAAAATGCACACATTTACCTTTTTCTAGACTAACCACAGGTACGATCCTAAGTTAAAAAAATATGAGGTTATCATGAGGTTGTTAACATCGCAATTTATCAGTGGATGTTTGCTGGAACGACCTGGTCAGTGTATGTTTTGGTCACTTTTCACAAATGGAAATTCAAAAACAAAAAACGACTGGATATTTGATTTTCGTTTTAAAATTGAAAAACCAAAATTGAAATACAAGGCGTTTTTCTTTATCACGGTCAAAAAGGGATTTACTAAACTTAAAAAACGGGATGATTTTCATTTTCTACTTCTCAAAACAACAAATAAAATCACTAGAAAACAGAAACAAAAAAACCCCCCGTTTTTTCATATTCTGCTACCGGAAGTTGTCTTTCAAAATAAGAGCGCAGATGAGGACGGTCAATCCGTGTATCTAAAGTCCATTTGTTTTCACAACGAAAGCAGCCAAGACACATATTGAGCCCAGAAAATGAATGTTATTAAGGGCTGTGAATATAATAGACCTATGTCTAAAATGGACAATATGATGAATTGGAAATGGGGGACCCTGATGTAAACAAGACGAAAGTCTTTCTCTGGTCTGCATCCCCTTAACAAT